TACCTGAGACAAACCTCCCATCCATTCCTGCAAACTTCCATACCATGAGTGAAGCCATAGTATGGAGCAAGACCCCGATTCTTGTGATCTTCCCTTCATGTGTCAGATGTGACAGATGTGCCAACTCAGCTTAGACCTGTGCATAGGGGCTCTGCTAAAGGTCATTTCTGTAGAAAGACTGCAAAAATCAGTGAACCTCTACATTTTCCAGTCCAGTCAGAAGTTCCCATCAAGACATGCAAGGGAAGGTCAAGCCTCAGTTCAACAGAAGTCTTCTGTCAGGAACAAGTGCCTGTTTGGGCTCTTGCAGCTCTCTGTCCCATAGATGCCACCACACTCTGCAGCCACCCAAGGTCATCTGCTGGCAATATCTGCGACGTGTAGTTACACAACCTCTGGTGGCAGAGAGCATGGCCTTCCCCATGGAGGTGCTGGTCCACTAGTGTACGCAAATGATGCACCTAAGAGGGAGTGACTCACTTATCATTGGCACAGCCATGACTGAGGTTTATTACTCCCTGTCACAGCACCAACATGGCAGCACACTCTATACTTTGGAGAAAGATTAGAGAACTATTTGTAGAAGTGCTAGGCAGAAAGAGAATGGAGAATCAGAATCTTCTGCCTGGGATGTTCCTTCTTCACCTGTTTTCTTGGTGAACTCCTACACACCCTCTAAGTCCCACCTGGGGAATAGTCCTGCTCCCTCCCCAGGTTGGGCCCTGTCCCCTGTACCAGCCCTCACTCTTGGCATGTCCCCATTGTCACACTGTTCTATGGTGTTGCACCTGCAGACTGTAAATTTCTGGGAGTGCTAGGTGACATATTCCTTTTCTCAGGCCCTGGCATATATAATAGGTGCTTGTTCCACCAGTGTCTGCAGAATAAATCAAGAATGATACATGCTTGTGCTGATTTTATTTTAGGCTAGAGAAGCGTGTCATTCTTTCTCTTCTCTCTCTAATATTTTCATGGTTATTCCCACATGGCTTCCTGGGGGACACTACAGTTAACATTTTTTTTTTTTGCAGTGCTGTGGGAAGTGTGTCCCCATGGGGCTCACACAACCCCAGTGGGTAGGAGGCATTCTGAGTTGATAAGTCTTTTCTCAGACTACCACCTCAGCTCTGTTGCTAAATAAAACACAGACAGGGTGGAGGGGCCAAGACATTTGCTATGGGGAACAAAGATCAGGAACTCTGGCTGGGAGTATGGTGTGGTCACACTTCATTAGGCTCCTCTATAAACATCTCTCCCATGTCAGTAAAAGTAATCTCCATTCACAGGCAGCTGGACCTCAAGAACCCCCTGGGAAGAACACATATAAGACTCTGGTGAAATCTAGGGGAGGCCCATCTGGCCCACGGATCCCAGATGTAGCCCCAAAGACTTCTGAGTGAATGCTGAAGCAACACTTGAAAATGGGCCATAGAGTTGGGACTAGCAAGGGGGTGATGGCCCAGGGCCTGAGGGGCCAGCTGCGTGACTCCTGCAGCATTGTATATGGATGAGGTCCACAGATAAGATGGATACCACAGGGGCACTGTGGAAGCAAAAACAATTGAGGGTCCCCTGGGTATCAGCAGGGTGACAGCTGGGCTATACCTCAATGCCTGTTATCTGCCTCTGGGTGCGATTTGGCTTCATACGTAGAATGGTGGTGGGTGAGAGTGGCCATGGGGATGAAATGCTTTGGGTTTTGGGGTTGCCTTCCTATGCCATGCAGAACAGTGTTGGCTTCTCTTGAAAGGAGTCAGTTTGATTTGTACCAAATCCATAGATGGAAATTCATAGAAGTAAATCCCTACTCAAAGTGCCAGAAGACCAAAGGGAAAGATGTTGAGCTTTCCAAGCCACACCTGACCCAGGAAGCATTCTCTGGCTCTACATGAGCAAGGGAGGGGCTAGGAAGGGGGTGGGGGAACTTGGATGACAAACAGGATGCCTTTGCCCTCAGATCCAAGGCTTTAGGGTAGAGGGTGAGTGGGCTGCCAGCCTCTGAAACAAGGCCCATTTTACATCTGCCCTAGCATCTCTCTGGGCACCAGTGATGGCTGTACATAAGAATATGGTGCTTCCCTACGTGGGGAGTGAGACTTGCCAATGAATTTGAATTTCTGTGTTGTGAAAATACCATAAGCCTCTTATCATGAAGTGGTCTTACCCAACTGAAGTCTTGACCGTCCTGGAAAACTCTGTTTCAGACTTTATGGAATATCTAAATGTAATTTAAAAAATTCACAGGGTTTTTTCCTAAGAGTTTAAAGTTGGAATGCAGCCAGTTCACCCCACTTGGGTGTTTTAGGGTCCATTCAGCTAGACTAACAGCCAATCAGCTCTGCAGATTTTCAGGAAAACTACTGCTAATGCCTTCCAGGCAAGCCAGTTATTTATAAATGCGCTTCAAAGTCTTCTCCAATGGCTTTCCCTTGGTTTGATGATTAATAAAGAGAAAAAGTGTGTGCTTGGTTCTGAGATAGCTTCAGATTCCTGGTGACTTAAATTTCCTGTTTTAGGCAATAAATAATTTGGTCTGTTGGGAAAATTTCTCTGTAGGTATTTATGTGAATAATTCTAAGAGCATGCTCAATGAATAGGATATTTCTGGACATTGGACAAAAGTAGAGCAGTTAGTATGATTAGTAATATGATTAACAAGAGGGTGGACAGGAGCACATGTGACTGGGTGACCTCATGCTAAGTTCAACCCATGCTGTGCTGTTGCTACAGAACACTGGGGCTTTTCTGACGTTCAAGCACAGCTCACGCACAGGCTGGCCACGGGACGTGAGTGCAATGCTATGAAGGATGGAAATGCCGGATCATCCAACTCAACTGATCTGTCCTATGGTCAACATCTCACCTGTCCAGGTTTTTAGCCCATGTGGCCATGAGGGCAATGACGCCAGATGTCATTATTGCCTCACACAGTGCTTTCTCAGCCTCCACCCTGAAGGCAGTATCTTCTCCTACTGTGAGTTCAGACATGTCGCAGGCTGTGAGGCTTCCTGTCCCTACTTTCCAGCTTCCTATTGAGAGACTGTCCCCTGGGGCAGGCTGTCTGCACGTACTTCTGTGAAGGGCAATGCGTCAATGATTCTCTCAAGGTGGACCTCATGTGCTCACATTATGCAGTGACCCTTCAGTGACTCTGCAGTGGCGTCTCCCAGGAGGGCTCACCTCACATCTGGCTACTCAAGAGCCTGAGGCACAAGAGAGTCTCAGACCCCTCTAATGGACGCACACAGATGGATGTGTTAAATCATTCCTCACCTATCAAAACTCACGTCACTGAGCAGAAGGATTTCTGTTGAGATTTTTATGCACCAAGAGTAAACCACTTTGTTTTATGCTCTGGATTTATTCAGTCCACAAATATTTACTGGGCAAATATTATATGCCGATCATTGTGCCAGGCCCCGAGGATACAGCAGTGGGCAGATAAAAATCTCTGTCTTCATATGGTAGGACCAGGTGGACACAGAGAAACTGGTCAGAGGAGAAAATGTAAGGTGTGTTCAGCTAGTGATAAGGGTGATGGTGAAATATCAGCCAGAAATGGGGGTGAGGACAGCTGGCACAGAGGCTGCTCAGGGAGGTCTCACTGATGCGTGACTTGTGAGCAAGCAGTCAAGGATGTATCTGAGAACGGCATTCTTGGTAGAGGGAAGGTAAGGATGGCATTCTGGAGGTGGAAAGAGAGTGTCTGCTCTTCTCTGGAACTGTCATGGAGGGAGTGTTGCTGAAGACGAAAAAGCGGGGAAGAGGAGGAGGAGATGAGGTCAAAGACTCCCAAAAGACACCTATTATTGGCTGTGAGACCAAGAGATGAGCTGGAAGAACCCAGGGCGTGGAGGGCTTGAGCAGAGTAACATGATCTCACTTACACTGGGAATACATTCTGCTACTGGACCAAGAACAGACTGTGGCATGTGGGGAGGGAGAGCTGTGGGGTGTGGGAAGCAAGGACACTGGTAAGGGGACTACTACAATAACCCTGGTGACAGATGATGGTGCCTTGGACCAGAGTGCTGGCAGTAGAGGTGTACAGAGTGGTGACACACTCAATGACTTCCTGATGTGTTGTGAAGGTGGAGCCATTCAGTTTGCTAGTGGACTAGATGTTAAGTGGGGAAAAGGAGAGGTGTCAAGGATGACCCAAGCAAAGATAAAGATGTAGTAACTACTTGCTGAAATGGGAGAGGTTGTAGGAAAGCAAGTTTGGAAGGACACTGTCAAGACTTCTGTTTGGGCTAAGACTGAGATTCCTGTTAAGCATCCAGGCAGAGATGGCTTGAAGGTAGTAGACACTCAAGTCTGAAATTCATGAGAAGCATCCAGTGTCATCAGTTCAGACTAGATTTAATGCAATGGGTTTGGGCGAATCCCTGAGATGAATGTAGAAAGAAAGGAAGACCCAGAGCTCTGTAGAAGTTAGGAAGATGAGAGGAGCTAGAGAGAGGGGAGAAACCAAGGGAAAGTGATGTCCTGGAAATGAAGGATAATGCTTTAAGGAGGTGGTTGGAATGATCCATGCTATTAATTAAGCTTCCCTAGAGATTAAGGCATCTACAGTTGACTCAGGATCAAGCAGAACTGCATATTCTGCATATAAATTTCAGTTTCCACCTACATGTAAGTACTCTACAAACATCTTTCATCCTCTGGGCATTAGCAATCCTCTGAGGATCTTTGTGAATTCTGTGACTCTTCCCTCAGAAAAACACATTCGGGTACACACAAGGCTACACACAGTTCCTGAGGGTTCCTAGAACCAGTAAAGTCGAGTGTAGTTCCCCCCTCCTCCACCAAAGATGACTTCTTCAGTCATTAACCAAACTTTCTCTGTGTAAAGAATCAAGGCTTGCAGGTAGTGTGGCTTTTCTCAATGTGTTTCCAAAGGCTCAAATGACTTAATTTTTTTGGCCCTTGGATGGAATATAAACCACCAATGGACTGGCTCCAGTCAGAAAGCAGCAGTTAAACAAATAAGAACTTACCACCATCTCCTGGACATGAAACATCTCTGCGCCTCCAGAAGATAGTCGATTGGGGAAAGAGATGCTGACAGATGACCCAGGAAGAGTGCTGGGCCCTGTGTTATAGACCTGCAGGTATAAGACACACAGAGAGTTTTAATAGCACAGACCTTCTTTTCATGTCCTGCAGTATACACTCTAAGAGTCTTTTAAATGATATACACTCTGTGTATACAGATTCTAGGGATGCTAATGTAGCTGTCCCAGAACTATACTTTGAAAACAACTGATCTAGTCAACCCCCTTCCTTTTATGGTGACAAAGTGGGTCATCTTTAAACAAATGATCTAACTTAACAGAAAGGGCTATTTTTTTTCTACACGAACCTGTTGATTTGGTCTCTCCATCCTTTGCAGTCAGTGGTTCACTGACACAAGCTATGCGACGGCTATCGTCTGACAGATTCCGGGTAGCTCAGGAAAAGCTCTGAAAGATCAGACTTTCCATGCTAAATTATGTTATGACCTCTCTTTTTTGTATAATCGTAATACCTACAATTGGATTGCCTCAGCTGCATAAGGCCTGCCTGCCCTGACAAGCAAGCACTGCACCAGGGTGAGAAATTCCTCTGAAGTCAAAAGTGACTTAACAACTGGCTGATCAATAAAAACAAAAGGGCTGTTTCTGCAAAGTCTCTCACTG